ACTACTGTACAGCAGAGCGACATCCACTTACCCACCTTTTATGAATGCTGATTGAATATTTGTTTCTTGGTAAAAAAGCTTAAAAAGTTAATAGGTTCAAGGTTCTCTATTCATAAGTCGTTATTATAGTATACCTATTTATAAATTATCAAAGATACATAGCTATAAGTTCTTTTCATAAGAATTTGAATTTTGCAAATTGGATATTTAAACCATTGATATTTAAAATGTCTAATACATTATCGTATTAAGAGAAGCGGTAAATTTAAATCTACTGTGCTGTATGTACTCGGTGAAATATGATTGCGCGTGCGCCCATCATATCTGCAAGACCCCTGGCACTCCCCTAGTTGCTGAAGATAGAATCGAAATTCTGAAAATGTTCGAGTTCATAGAGATGAATCAAAATACAAGCAATTAATCGTGACGATGATGTCAACTGCACTGCACTCGTCATACACCCCTATCGATATAATATATACCTCCCAGGGCCCAGGGGCTGGTTTACTTTTTTAAATATAATATATTAATTTAGGTATATTAGATTCTGAGTGGAACGATGAATGTACTGATTTTACATGATGTGTGTTTTTTTTATTTTTTATTTTTGTGTCTGTCATCACAGTTTAGGGCAGTAAAACTGCTTCGATTTTCTTCAACAGTATCTTGTTCGATGGGAAAGTGAATCTAGTTGGTGCATTCGGGAGGTCAAATTTTAAAATTCCCTATAGTTTTCACAAGCATAAAAACAACATAAAAATTAAGGAAAAACGGGAATTTTTACGGGTTTTGGTTTTTGGTGTAGCTCTAGAACAAAGGAACGTATATACATGAAATTTTCACTAGTTGTTTATATTTGCATTTTCTATATATGATAAAATTTTCAAAATATTTTGATTTGCTTTGAACTGTTTAGGAATATTTTCAGTTTCCAATTTAATTAGTTTTTTTTCTATGAATGTCAATAAAACTTTATTTGTTGAGTAAAAATACTTGAACATTTAATACAAGGCTCCTAATATATTGTTACAATAGAAGTTGAAAAATATTAAAAATCCTTACTCACAATTTTTTTTTATAAGCATTTAAAGTTCAAATTTTAACAAAATACAGAAAAATCACGAAAATTAGCAAATTATTTTGAGTTGAGAATTCATAAAAATTTTTCTTTTTAAATCTAAGATTTGAGAATGTAATACAAAATTACTCATAAGTTTATCTACCTTTATCAAAAAAAAAAATGTCTACAAGCAAATCAAATTAAATTTTTATGAGCGATTGAAGTTCAAATTTTTACAACATTGGATATTCACTTGATTTTTCATGTAGCGGTTTTCTTATTTTGTTGTAATTCAAAAACGAATAACTGTAGATACATGAAAATTTCACTGAATGTTTATTGCATCAATTCTTATATTTGATAAAATTTTCAAAATATTTTGACTTGTTTTGAGCTGTTTACGGACAATTTCATATTTCATTTTTTTCATTTTTTTTTTTCTATGAATATCAATTAAGTTTTATCTGTTGGGCCAAAAAGTGTAAAAATTGAATACAAGGTTCCTGATATATTGTTACAATAGCAGTTGAAAAATATTAAAAATGCATAGGCATAATTTTTTTTTTAAGCATTTAAAGATCGAGTTTTGACAAAATTTATCAAATTTAAAATTGATTAATTATTTTGTAGTTAAAAATGTATAAAATGTTCAACTTTAATATTTAAGGATTGAAAATTTAAAACGAAATTCCACTTAAGTATTTACTCCAAAATGTTTTCAATATCTTATTCGCTGCCCGCTATAATGACGTAGGTACCTATATAGTGTTATAGCGCTCGGCTCCACATTCTATGACGGACGGATGGATTTTGTCGCTTATATCTATTACTCTTACGCTAAAAACGTCAAGTACGTTCGTTGTCACAAATTTTACTATCTTTAATTCCCATGTAAAATATTTTTGTGCTGTTTTTAGTTTTAGAGACATTGTAAGAAAACCGTTAAAAAGTGAAAAGTTTCGTATACCTATATCTATTATACTCGCCGTGTTAGCTCGCGGCGCCACATACTATGACGGCGAATGGACTTTGTCGATTATTTATTAAGCTAAAAGTGTATAGAACCTTTCTTGTCACAAATTTTACGATCTTCAATTTATATGTGGGATATTTTTATCGTTAAGTTATTAATTTTAGAGATATTGTAAAAAAGTGAAAAATTTCACATCAAATCCAAGATGGCGGACGGTTGCGGACCTCGGAGTGATGGCGCATTTTTTTTGGTCAATCAGGGCCCCAAGACGAAACTTTTAGCCAAGTTTCAAAACTTTAGTATTTAATGCAAGGCTAAACCCCCTATTGACTAGACCAGGGGTCTCCAAACTACGGCCGGATACGGCACGCCAACAAGTTTTAACCGGCCCATGGCCCGCATGGCCGCATATGTAAATATAGATAAAAAAATTATTTCAAAAATGTATTTATATTATATTATATTTATACCTATTTATTTTTATTTAAGTATATTGTAAAGTACCTAAACAATATTTTATACAAAAATATTAAGTAAACATATTATTTATATAGGTAGGTACCTACCTATATTATCATAAAATTAAAAATTATATGTGTTAATAAACTTTTGTCCCGCTAAGAGCATTTGATTTTTTTTGTGGCCCTTGAATAAAAAAGTTTGGAGACCCCTGGACTAGACTACTACACATAGTTCGTCAAAAATAGTAACAATATTGTGATATTTCCATACTAATATAAGTGACATATTAAATAAATTATACAAATATTCTACTGCAGTTGCTGACCCCCCTACCCCCCCCCCCCAAAAAAAATGTTCTATGTGGATTGGTAATGATTTGAATGGCCTGCAAACATTTTGGCACTAACAAAAAAAGAAGTTGAAATGACGCCCCTGAGTCACTGTAATGTATGTTAAATTTGAATATGAAATAAATATTATGATAATATAATATAATAATAATATAATAATACTTTTACATTAGGTAGAAAAAATAACAAATCTTTATTCTATATTCTCTGTTTAAAAATCTAATTTTGTCTAAGTTTGAACTTAAAATATCTATTAAAAACACTGAACCTATGTATATAATTTTCAGATTATTTGGATACACTATGAAATACTTACCTGTCGGCTGTCTTTAAGAGAAACCTAGTTTAATTTTTAAATCAATATAATATCTATAAAAATTTAACATAATATACATTTTTAAATACAAAATTATTTGCAATTTTTTCGTAATTTTCAAGTTAAAAATCGAAGCATTATATTGTCAAATAGGTACCTACTCTTTGTCCACACACACAAAGATAAAAACACACACAGCATTGTAAAATTAATACTTTCATTGCTCTTTTAAAAACAATTGGTTATGAAAATGGATAGGTACACTTATTTCTTTCAATGTCATAAGTAAAAATGTATTTTATAAGTCAACTAAGTGAATCTTATTCCATCAGGACTAGGGAGTATCATCCTTGATCAGGAAAATCCCTAAGTAGCAGGTTTTTACATATTTAATTTGAGAGTATCGAATTAAGTCTTATTATGAGTAAACAGGTATTGTAACATTGGTTGGTACGGTGTACTTTTTTGAACCTTAAAAAGTTGTTGAAATTTTATTTGGATGTCTAGTTATCAGCCACCACTCCGATCAGGCAGGACAATCTGTTTAGAGCAAATTAAAAACCCACAGCGCTCTACAAATTTTGGTTTAAGTTTAACTCATGGAATTATTATTAAATAATAAAGTACAAATAACTTTTATTTAGTATAGTTTGTTGTTATGAAACTAAATACAAAACACATACTTAACAATATTTTTTTTCAATAAAATAACAATTATATGGCTAAAAATATGACAGACAAATAATCGATCAAATATTATGCGAACCATTATTTTACATTAGTTACCATGTAAAAAGCAATATCAACGGATTAAAGTTTACAAGAAATTGACGTTATTTAAATTTTTAGAATTTTCAGTGACCTTAAAGGTATGTAATCATTCTTCAAATTTAACTAACAATTATAATATTATTTATTTATGTAACATTTTTACTATAATTGATGTTTAATTTAATTTATTACCTGTCTATAAATAAAACTTTAAAATTATATTGTTAATAATTAGATAATCTGGTAAAACAGTATTTAGTATTTTTTTAAAAAAAAACAATCTAGTCAATATTAACAACTGAATATGATTGAAACTTGAATTTATAATTTGAAATGTAATTAACTTCTAATAATATTACAAATATAATACAATTTAGTTAAATTATTTAGTTTAAAAAAATAAAATATTCAACTATTTTTTATGACAAATATATATTATTTATTATAAATATAACTATAGAATATCTTTATCAAATAATTTGTTCACATGACACAAGTAAAAAAAAAATAAAAACAATCAGTCAATATTGTACATAAAATGACACTATAAAAGAATTTGTTTCTTACTCTTATTTATCTATTTTCCTGTATTCTAGTTGCCTTAAATACATTTTTGTACATATAATGAGACTCAGATGTATTTTAATCTAGTACATTTAATACATTATTTTAAATATTAACATTGTAAATTTCTTTGACTGAAGTGTGTTCTTTTGATAGTAATCATCATATATTTTCAGTAGAATTATTAAATTTTTTTTGTTATAATAACTAAATAGAATTCATACACAAAGTATTTGTGTAGAAGGGAATTTTTCCTATAATAATGTAATATTTACTGGATCATTACAATTATTACTTAGTAACACTTAAAAAAAAAAAAAGAATACAATAAACAGTGAACTCAGATCACTATGTTAGACGTTAGTAAATACAAAAAATAAGTTTTCAACAGTGTAAAAAAAAGTTAAATAGAAATAATTATAATAAATTATATAACTCAAAAAAATTGTGATGAATGTTAGTAGTAAGTTGATAAATGGTAAATTCATGAACTTTTTGATTCTCTTAATTCTTGACATCATTTTTCTGTAAATAAAAATAAAATCTGAAAATAATGACAAACATTCACCTAATGCATTATGTGAACTTAGCTAGCAAATATCAATAAAGCTTGACAAAATGTTCAAGTATTGTTATTAATTTTTATGTGGTTTGCAAAATATCTAGTTATTAACATGTATGTTTTCAGTTGAGTACCTATTTAATATATTGAAAAAAACAAGTCTTAAACCAAATTTAGTTTCCAATAATATTATTTATTATTGAATCAAAGTTAAAATGTTAAAGGTTAACACAAATTAAAAATAATAAGCATAGGTATCTTAGTTATCAAGATTTTGTTAAAAAACAAAAACTTACTTGGTGTTTACTTACATTTAAAATAGTCTAGTTCAGGGATCGGCAACCTTTTAGTTACAAAAATAAAAATACAATTTTAAAAATTGAAATTTTGAAATTGTATAATCATATAAAATGTAGTATATTTATGTTCATAACTGTTAGGTTTATTAATTTAACAAGGCATCTATAAACAAAAAATGTTTTAGTCCGCAGCCTATACTATCTTAGTTTATGATATGTCTACAAATTATAAATTTTGCAAGCCACATTAAGCCGCGGGTTGCCGACCCCGTGTAGTTTATTGTACAAAATAGATGCACTAAAAAAAATGTAATTCACAATAAAATAAAATACTCACTAAATAAAGATAAAATCACTATTTAGTATTTAGTATATATTTTAAGTTTTTTAAAATTTTTTGGAATTACATCATATCTAAATATGATTGTAAACAATAATTGTATCAAAGGAATACACATTTTTACTTCAAGTACATACAGGTTGCCATTGAAGATATGTAGCCTTAGTGGCTTCCAAATACTCATCTACAAGATTTTGAACTACAGCTCTAGAATCATCCATTTCACATAGGTCATCTTTGAACATGTTCTGTTTACGAAATTGATCTAAGAACGCTTCTCTGTGTCGCAATTTGTCATACTGATCCAGGACTCTTTGGAAAAGCTGAAAAAAAAAATTAACAATTAATATTCTAACTTGAATTATAATAGTGTAGTAAGCGAGTTACTACGCAACATTTAAAGTCCCGACAGGTAACATAATTTAACATAATATACTATAGATAGGTAACAATCAGATACATCAAATGGAAATAGGAATTGACTAAGTTAACCTTCGGTTGTGTTCTAATATAAAAAAGTCAAACAACCCATAGTAGACAGTACTATACATGACATACACATTATAGTAATACGCAGAATAGATTAGGAATTTCGCAAGTGCGTAGTTAAATCGATGGCCACATAGACTACATCCGTTAGAACCGAGATACAGTATCACTAAGCAAGGGGAGCGGGGACCGGAATATAAGAGGGACCCCGAAACAGCCTGTATTCAAACGTGTCCACTCATCGCTACTGCAAGCACCTTCAAGAGACTCTGTGTAGCGATTGTTATTTGGACTTAGCACCATTTATGATTTACTGGAACATTGAATAAACAACAGTATAATTTACAAATGTGTTTTAATTATTCAACTAATACCTCATTGTCATAACAAAACAGTCTAACAACGTTGATATACAAGTAGTCATCTGAACTACCAGTATATTACAATAGTTTAATTGTTAAGATGTAAAATATTTACTTGAGATATGCTTGTGTGATTAGCCAACATAAGACCAGATACACGGTGAGCTGTGGGAACATAAGGTGATTTTTTTGAAAGAGCAACTTGAATACTGGATGGACCCCATTCAATGAAATTTACAGTTTTTCTTTCTCTAATTCTTTGGAGTGATTTGTATACTTGTGTAGGATCAACATCACCCTGTAATTTTAATAGTATCGTACATTATTTTCATACTCTAAATCATTAACCAAATATATAAATAAATACTTGGATTATATTTAATATAGATAAGTAGCAATGTGGTATAGTAGATCTTTCTTGTGCTGTGGACACCATCATATTTTTAGGCTGCAACAACCGTCTCATTACATCAAATACTGTCGTTTTACGAATATTAGCATCCTATTTACAAAATAATTTAAGTTAATACAGATAATATATTATATTATAATAGATTTGGCAAAATATAAAAATAATAAACAATAAAGTACCTCATGATCAGTAGTTAATGGTGTATAACCTGTCATAAGAAAGTGTAAACGCGGTGATGGTATCAAAGGTCCAATGAGACCAACTAAATCGTTGTTCATGTACGATGGGTATCTAAATAAGATCAAAACTATAAGTTCAATACTCCATATAATATGAAAAAGTAATAAATAGTAATAAAAATTAACAAATTACCTTAAAGTAGCAGTTGAAACAGACATAATTGTAGATACTAATGAATTTATTTGAGCAAATGACGGATTTTCTATGTGTAAACGATCAGTAGCAATCCGATTTAATGCAGTATTATCTAAGACTACAACACAATCTGCACTTTGAGCAAGTCGTTTTAAAGTCAATAAAGAATTGTAAGGTTGTACAACTACATCACTGTAAATATGATTTGATAGAAAAAACAGCTTCACTATTTTGTTTGAACATATGTAACAGCATTGATTATAAAATAACAGTTAACATTACCTAATTTCGTCTTGATTTGGAAATACACTATATGTTTCAATTATTTTTTTTGGATATCGATCAGTTAAATGTTCAAGTATAAATGAACCCATTCCTGAACCTGTACCCCCAGCAATTGAATGGCACAACACAAATCCTTGAAGACTATCACCGCCTTCTGCTTCGCGATCTAAAATGTCAAACACTTCTTCCTGTAGTCTTTCGCCCTGACTAAAACCTGATGCCCAATTGTTTCCAGCACCACCGCCATGTTTAGATAGAAATACATTTTCAGGGTTGTATAGCTAAATTAAATTAATCGTTATTATAACAGGAAAAACTGAAAATCATATTAAAAAATGTTCATCAATCTTACTTTTGAGTAGTTGGATGACATGATTGAGTGTATGACACGCGGTTCCAAATCCAGCAAAACAGCTCTAGGCACATAATGATTGTCATCGGCCTGATAAAAAAAGACATCTTTTCGATCGCCGACACCTTCTGTAGCAAATGGTTCCAGCACTCCTTCTGGGTTGATACCATGTTCGGCACATAGTTTTTTCCAAAATTCAAATCCAACTTAACACAAAGTAATATTAAATCTTCATAATATATCCAAATAAAGCTAAATTACAATTGCCAATTAGATAATTTAGCCGCATTCTTTATATTACTTACTTTGATTACCACATTGGCCCAATTGGACCGTTATCATTTCACACGGCATTTTAGTACCAAGATTATTTCTTTATTTTAATACATTAAATTCAACAATTAGCATAACAGTTAAAACAAAAAATTATATATTATTTAAACAAGAAGTGAACAACGAAAAAGTTTTAACATAAATATTAAATAATATACAATAATGTATAATCAATATCAAATTGTATTCAGTGATAAGGAGACTAGACCAAAGAAATGGCGCGAAATTCTAAGTATTGATAATGGTCAATATACAGTGTTGTACACGTGACGATAATAAATTTTAAAAATATTTGAAATAAAAACCACAGAACAGATGAAAATAAACAATTCTGATAAAAACTCTGTTTTTAGAATTTAGGAAATGTTAGAATGAGAAAATGTATTCTCGAATATTACCATTAGTGTTGTTAACTCGGAAGTCGTATAGGCTGGAATTATAGGCGTAAACCAATAAACAGGTAATATTTTATATTGTAATAAAAAAAGTCGATTGTATAATAACTATACAAAATATAATATATTTTGTATGACGTGTATCTACAGACTACAACCTACATAATAATTAATACTAATAATACTTAATAGGTAACCTAGGCGCAATTTCAATTTTTTTAGGTATAAAATTCTTTAATAGCCAAGCTAGCCCCTATATTTTTAAATTTTTTATTCATTAGTTCATTACAACAATTATGTCAGTCACCGGGTACTGAAATTGTAAACTAAATAGATCAATAATCACATTAAGGGTGCTTTTTTTAGAATGAACTATTTTCTATTTACCAAATAGTAATAATCTTGTCATTCGCACACATGAATGGTGAGTGGTGACTAAAGAATAAAGATTCGTTAATTGTGGTTTAAACGCACAATTTCCAATATTATATAATAAATATAATGTTGCTACTGGTACAAACGGGAGACGTGAGACAGCTGCAGCCGCATTGATGATTTTAGAGGTTTATAAATTATAATTATAACTAGGGCGTGGATTTCAATGCAAAATGCATTTTTTTTTGGATGATCTTAGACAATGCTTTCCAAGTACATAATTCGTTGCATGTAGCGAATGCTTCAAAGCTAAACATTTTATTTTGAATTGTTTTACATATTTTGATGTTTTTTTATTTTTATAACATTTTTAGCATTATTGGGTCATTTTTGTTGGTTTTAAATGTATATTTGTTCAATATGTCACCCGTTATCAGATAAATAACAAATAATTAGTGATTTTGTGTTACATCACGGTTGTAGTTCGTATATTTTTATTTCATGTTTGTAATTTTAATAGGGATAAATATTGTGTTATATATTGCCCCGTCCCCCCCAAAAAAAAAATCATCAATAAATTAATATGGTATTTTTAGGGGGTAAAATTAATTTTTTAGTGCATTAATTAATTTTTTTAGGTCATAATTGCAATAAGGCATTTTTAAGTATTTTTTAGGACATTAAAATCCGCGCCCTAATTATAACTATATTTATATATTTGTTAATATATATTAAATTATATTGTATTTTGATAACTATTCCGTGCACACGGTTATCAGGTATGAATCTAGAATGAATCATGATAGGAATAACATTTATTTCTATCATGGGATGAATAATACTTTACAATGATGTGAGTTTTTCATCATATTTTAAGGAAGAAAAATTACATAAATTTTTAATTTTGTGGGTGGTTTCAACTTTCAAGTAAAATATTAGATCTAGTTGGTACTTTTGGGGATTATAAGTAAAAAAGGTAGGTAAATGAATGTCCCTCTGCTGTACAGTAGGTTACAAGTGGGTCACTGTATAATTAATGATATTACATTTTAATTCAATGATATAATATCATTGTGTACAAAAAACAAATCTGAGCGGTGACTGTTTGTCAGTGTGGATACATTCTATATTACATTAATATTGTTATTACTTATTATTAATACAGTAGCCGGTAATTAAGTTGAAATAATATTATAAAATTACAACGAAATAACTAAAATCGCTATTCTTGGTTATTTAGTATGTAATTTCGTCCAAATTTGAACATATAATAACTATAACAAAAACTGTCTTTTTATATTTTTGAGATTTATTAGTTTCAGAATAACTTACTTATATGAAACCTTGCTTTAAATTTTCAATCATTAGCAAGAAAAGTTGAAAATGTTATACATTTTCAACAACAAAATAATTTGTGCCTATGAATTTTTAATAAATTTCAACTACTATTGTAACAATATACCTATCAAGAGACTTGTATTAAATTTTCACGCGTTTTGACCCAACAAATAAAATTTTATTGACATTTATAGAAAAAAATATCTAATGTTGTAAAAGTTTGAACTTCAAACGCTCATAAAAATTTAATTTGACTTTCATATAGACATTTTTTTTTTTGATAAAGGTAGATTACCTTATAAGGAATCCTGTATTACATTTTAAATTCTTAGATTTAAATAGAAACATTTTTAGGAATTTCTAACTCAAAATAATTTGCACAATTTTGTGATTTTTGCGCCTTATGTCAAAATTCGAACTTCGAATGCTTATAATAAAAATTATGACCATGTATTTTTAATTTTTTTCATCTGTCATTGTAACACTAATTAGGAGCCTTGTATTACATTTTCAAGACTTTTGACCCAATGAATACAATTTTATTGAGAATCTATAGAAAAAAAAATTAAAAAAATGAATATGATTGAAAGTTGAAAATACGGTATTTTGAAAAAAATTTTTTTCTTATAATATAGGTATACTTTTATATATTACTAATTATTACTTATTAATTATACTAATTTGAATATAATTTATAACTAGTAAGTAGTAGATAGCCAGATAGATGTGTATTATCGAGATTTTAATAATGTTCATTTGTGAACACATAATTGAAAAAATAATATTTTTGCAATTTAAATCTAAATCTACTGAAAAAAAGTATTCGAAAAATATTTGGAGTGAAGTATTCCAAATACTTAGGAATATTATTATCATAAAGTATTCGAATACATATTCTGAATACTTTTTTTTAAAGTATTCGGAATATGTATTTGAAATACTTTTAAAAAGTATTTTACCCAAGTCTGGCTATATATAGCTTTTTAATTAGCTTTTGTCGATATATTAGATATTTTAACTATGTCCTTAATTTACAAACAATTCAGTTCTTATGCGGTAAAAAGTGGTAAAAAAGACATTTGACATTTTCATTTTTTTTTCTGTTTGTCAAAAACCTTGAAAATTTAATTCATGGTTCCTCGTAAGTTATTTCATATACAATCAAAAAAATATCGAAAATGTGAAATCACAGAATTTTTTTTAAAGGCGTTTAAAATTAGAATTCGACGAAATTTGTCAATACCACGGTGAAGTTTAAACTGTGACGAAATTGGATATTCACGCTAAAATAACTGTGATATCATATCAAGCGATTTTTTTATTTTTCAGGAATTCAAAAACGAATGACCCCGTAAATATTTGAAATTTTTACCAAACGGTTAAATGTTTTTATAATTTTCCATCTACGATATTATTTCAAAATATGTTTACTCATTTTGAGCTATTTATTTGTTTGACAATTTCTCGAATATATAATTTCTCGATAAAACTTTTTCGTACAGGCAGTCTGCAATAGGTTTGAAAATGTAGTACGAGGTTTTTAATAAGTTGCTATTAATACAGCCATTTAAAAATATTAAAGGAACATAGTTTTTATAAGAATTTAAAGTTAAAATTTTAGGTAAAAAATTCATCAATATTACGATTATTTTGTAATAAAAAAATTATATATTTAAAAGAAGAATAACGATTTAAGTTATTTTGTTGAAATTTAAAAATATTATCTGTAGGTACCTACCTACTTGAAATTTTAAACGTATGTTATTATATTACATACCTACAAACAATGAAATTTTCAAATGCTATGTTTTCAGCAAAAATAAATTCTACCTACCGGCTACCGTATAACTATAATACTAAAATAAATTATTACTTTGATAGTAATATAAATTTATAATAAAATATACAGGATGATGTCTTTGCTCAGAATCGTTTTTCATTTTTCCAGATGCAATGACTCAAAGACGAGATACACTCGAATATTCGTACTGTACAGTGAAGAGGTTATTTACTTCCTCCCTTATTCTTTTGAAATGCTTCGTTTTACTTACAATTTAAAAATAATGGTGGTAACATAATCGTTATGCTTCAAATAAAATTTTACTCTACCATATATAAGTATTATGTTTCGTGAATAAACATTTATCGGGATGAAACCTTTTACTGTTCTTAACTTCTTTACTTCTAAAGAACAACAAAGTTTTGAAATCAGTTTCCTCTATTGTAAGTAGTTGTGTTATACGATAATCTGAGATATAAGTATTGGTTTTAAACAGTCATTTGAACCAATATAGACTTGTAGAATATTCTTTATAAATCTTGTCAATTGGGACCACCCACAAGCCATTGGTCCACACTCCATAATCTATATTACCTACCTATATTATTAATTGTTATAATATATAGTATATGGGTCACGATAGTGTTTTAAAATGTTAGTGTATTATAATCATGATTTATTAATTTATAGCTCACTCCTTAATGATAAATTAATAATGCCTATATTACATTTGATATTTTGAATCGAATACAAAATATAATTAATTAAATGCCTTAAGAATTATTATGAAATCATAATTAACATATTTTACCACACCAAAAATTAAACCATTCCTCAACTAAATGAATATAATTATTATTTAAAAAATATACGGGTACCTAAATGGGCTAAATGTTATAAAAAACAAAGGTAATCACTAATCACTAACCAGTGTAAATGGAAAGTATTATTATAATATACCTAAACGTTGTTAAAATAGTTGTTTTTAAGTGGGTTCGTAAGATATTCACACAAAATATCATAATTCTTTAAATTTCCTACCTTGATAATTTTAATTTTGTTTTAAGTAGATCTATTCTTGTTAAATTACTGTGGTAAAATACTATACACATATATTACTCTCGTATTTTATT